CCTTTATCAGCAGGCTTCCCCCTAGACTTCCTTGCCTGGCTAATTTTTGGATTTATTGTAGAGACGAGGTCTCGCCAAGTTGCCCAGGCTATCCTTCACCTCTTATGTTCAACAGTTGCCAAATCTTGCTGATCCCACCTTCCAGAAAGCTCCTGCATCTATCCACTTCCCTGCATCCCAACTGCTGCTACCTGGGTCCAGGTGACTGTCATCTCTAACTGAATTACAACTAGTAGGGTTCCCTGTCCATCCCTTCTCTGCACCAGAGCTAGGATGACACTTCTTTTTTTTTAAGTCAGAGTCTCACTCCATCGCCCAGGCTGGAGTGCAGTGGCACACTCATGGCCACTCTGGCATCAACCTGCTGGGCTCCAGTGATCCTTCTACCTCAGCCTTCCAAGTAGTCGGAACTACAGGCACACGCTACCACTCCTGTCTAATGCAGAGATGAGGTCTCGCCAAGTTGCCCAGAGGTCCTGGGCCCTCTACTTCATCTATTACAGGCACAATAAGTCTCAGAACTGCTGCATTCAAGCTCATCGCTCTACAACTGACTGTAGGATGTGGTGTGAGAACCACCAGCAAGGTCCACACCTGAGAACTTGTTGGAAATGAGGACTCTCGTGTGCTCACTTGACCTGAATCAGGATCTGCAGTTGATAAAGATGCCCAGGGATCTGCCTGCACATTTAGTGGAGGAAACACAGCCCGAGAGGACTTGTTCCTAATGTGCTTGCACACCAGAACCATCTAGGTCATGGAAACACATCACTATAGTATGTGCTCCATCCCCAGGGATTCCAGTTTAATTGGTCTGGAGGGTAGCTTTTTGAAGCTCCCCAGGATTGTAATGTGCAACTAAGGTTGAGAACCCCTACTTATAGGATGACTAGGTCCTCCAATCTGTCAAATGGATTCTGAAACTCAGAAAGTATAATAATCAGAAAGGCCACATGTTTTTTATTTGAAAGAGCAGGACCCCAGAAAGAAATAAATTGTTTTTCTTTATAATTTCCAAAGAGGACTGATTTGAAAAATCACAAGACAAACCATGAAGGACTACAACGTAGAGTTTATAAAATGAAAAACAGGGGTTAGAAAGCATGCCACCCAATAACCATTAGGGAAAAAGAGGGCTTTTGCTACTTCCCAGGCAAAACATCAGGAGACAGCAACCCCACCCAGGTGTGGTGGCACACATTTGTAGTCTCAACTACTCAGGAGGCTGAGGGAGGATAATTGCTTGAGCCCAGGAGCTTGAAGCTAGAGTGAAATATGCTTGTGCCACTGCACTCCAGTCTGGGTGGCAGAGTGAGACCTCCACCTCACTAAAAAAAAAAAAAAAAAGGGCTGGGTGCAGTGGCCTGTAATTCTAGCACTTTGGGAGGCCGAGGTGAGGGGATTGCCTGAGACCACAGATTCAAGGATAGCCTGGGCAACTTGGCAAGACCTCGTCTCTACAATAAATCAAAAAATTATCCAGGCATGGTAACGAACGCCTGGGGGTTCCAGTTACTTGGAAGGCTGAGGCGGAAGGATCGCCTTAGCCCAGCAAGTTGATGCTGGGGTGGCCGTGAGCATGCCACTGCACTCCATCCTGGACGATAGAGTGAGACTCCAACATACACACAAAAGATAAAAGACTTCAACCCAGTTAGATACTGGAGGAACAAGATGCCTGGGTAGAAAATTGGCAACAACTGAAGGGAATATAGGGGAATAAACCTAAGGGCAATCACAGAAACTTGAAGATCCCAACCTGTGAATATCTGAGTCCTAATGGTGGTACAGAAGCATTTGCTGAGAGTAAACTAACAGAAACCAAAATAGGACAAAGAAGGCCCGGGACCCAGGGAACTATTAAGCAGAGGTGTGGACTAAGTGCAGGACATATGCTCTGCTCCCCCTTCCCTGCTGAGGACTGTGCCCTGATTGGAAGGATGACCCCTTGTCAAGGCTGTCTGTGCCCAGTCAAGATGCCCTTAGAGCTGTGTACACCAGTGTACTCAAGGAAGTTACTAGGAGGGTAAGCATCCTTGTTTCTGTTTCTTTGTAAGTAATGCTATTGTTTGTGTCTTGCTCCCTTTCCCATGCTGGGGTATATAATCTCTCACATCTATTGGAATGCGGAGAGCTTTGTACCAACCGGTGGCCATTGGTCTCTCCTGTAAGTAGCAATAAACCCATATCTTGCCAACCTGTCTTCAGGGTAATTTGCCAACCTGTCTTCAGGGTAATTTCTTCAGAATAGGTAAACATCATGTGAGTGCTCTGTCTTCTCTGGGGCTCCCGCCCAGGAAATCACTACACGAACTATCGAATTAGCCACAAAAGCTTGAACAACACCTCAAAGACCACAAGGGACAGAACCACCTTTCAGCCAGAGGTCAGCAACAGCAGATGGTGCACTCGGGCCAGAAGACCCTTCCTAATCCCTTTCTACTCCATTCCTTGGGATAGTGACTGCAGATGGAAGAGTCTTGAAGCCAAATGAATGCTTACCTAGATAGGACTTAGTCTGAATTTAGAAGTGACTGCAAGATTGAGGTTTTCTACCATGATAGGAATGGAAGCTTGTCAACTGTTCCTGAATTATGCCTGCAACTTTCAAATCTATTATACTAGTTAAGAGACTTTAGTCACTTGCCTATAACGCAGATTTCTTCTTTGTAGGTTCCTGGGGTCTTAGTATCAAGATAAGAAGACTTATTTGAATGGAATTTTTGTTTTGTTTTGTTTTTGTAAGATGAGGATCAGGGATACATGTTACAGCATCCTGAACCACGAGGCATCTATATTCCTACTTGAGGGCCAGAACTGGGGCCAGAACCCAGGTCTACTAAGATGCACAGTTGAAGTCTGAAAGCCTCAAGTGTCTCTTGAGGGATAAAAATTCAACTAAGCAGCATTAACAGGCCTGTCTTATCAAAGGACATGTACTTCAGAGACAGATGATATACTGCACTGGCATCATTGATTACTATCAATTAAATCAGCCTCAGAAGATAAAGTTATTGACTAGCAAATGACCCCAAAGGAATTTTTTTCTGCCTTTTAAAGGATGGAAAAGACATAATTAAGAGGTGATCTATCACTACCATTGCACAAGCTTTAGCTTCTCTTCCCTGTCTTATTCCTTTTTTGTCTCCTTGAAGAAAATGGTCCTTGAGAGAAAGGTTGTTTTGTGTTACTCTCCTTCCTGGTAAGTCATATGATAGGATATGTTTAGCCTTCAAAGGAAGTCAATAGGCCAGGTTCAGTGGCTCACAGCTGTGATCCCAGCACTTTGGGAAGCCAACATGAGAGAAATACTTGAACCTAGGAGTTCAAGACCAGCCTAGGCAAAATAGTGAGACCTTGTCTCTACAAAAAAGATCAGAAAATTAGCTGAGTGTGATGGCATGTGCCTGTAGTACCAACTACTTGGGAGCCTGAGGTGGAAGGGTTGCCTGAGCCCAGGAGGTCAAGGCGGTGGTGAGCCATGATCATGCCACTGCACTCTAACTTGGGGCACAGAGTGAGATCCCCCAATTCAACAAACAAATGAAAAGGAAGTGGATGAATGGGCTACTTGATGGATACATCTTTTATTTTCTTTGCCTCATAGAAGGCACATCCTTTCTGTCTGTCAAGCTCTCTGGTACAAAGTACAAAGGGTGGCAATGATATCTAGAACTAGCATAATAAATAGCAATAACTTTCTAATTAACTGTTTACCTAAAATTGCAACCCAGGAGATTGAATTTAATTAATCATCTTGACATATTTTGGGTAGAAATTACATAAGGAATCCAGATTTTTAAATTATTTTAAATTCAGATATGTTATGTATGAGAAACGCACCCCGTAAAAACAACTAACCATCACTGATTAGACAAGTATAATGTAATCTAAGAAAAGACATTTAACTAAATGATCTTGGAATTTCCACAAGTAGAAAGCATTAGTATACAGTATAAGACCAAATTTGCTTTGAGCCCACTATGACTTCTGTGTTAGTGTCATGCAAGGTTTCTGGCAAATTTATAAGACTATGTTGCGGTATCCTTTTTGCCTAACCCCAGAGGAGAAGAGAAAGCCAAAGAATTGAAATTAATGATGTATATTTAGGCAGTCAGCTCATTGGACTGCTGCCCCAAACCAGAAAAAAGCTCTACATATGGAAAATTCCCAATTAGGGGAGGGGCTGGTGAAACGAGACAGGGTTCTCATAAATAGTTGAAGCTGTCATTTAACTATTAATGATTTCTAAGTCCTTATTGAAACCATCTTAAAATAACCAACACAAGAATGAAAATCAAACCATAAAACCAAGTAGTCTAATGTTCTCTGCTGAAAATTCTGATGACTGAAATAATCCTTTGAGACAAATCCATATTTTCATATCGCATACACTAAATATGAATGATCTATCTGTGCTTTATGAATTTCCCTGTGCCCTCAATAGGAATTAGATAATAAAAAAGTTTATGATTCCTATCATGAGTCAGTTATTTTCTCTCCACTTTAAAATATTCAATCTATCTTTGGAAAACTACAAAATATGGTAGGAAAAATATTTATGCTTTAAAAACATGAGCTTCATGACAGAATCACTGAGGTACATACATTCATCAATAGAAAATATGAGCTCAAAAGGGAATTATAGGATACAGTGCTCCAGAAAGGTGTCTGATGCAAACTGTCTTTGTCAACAGAGGCCATAGTACTAAGTAGTTTCAAATGAAAGGTTGGGTTGTGAAATTGACAAGTTACATCCAATGCAATTTTTTAAGCCAGCTTGCCTTTCTATCACTGCTCTTGACAGGAAAGGGAGTGTTTGTTTTGTCTTCCTTCAAATTCTCATGAAAGTCACTCTGGAATCATTCACAAAAAACCTGTGCCATGTTTAAACCTGACCTTCTTCTGTAGGATAGAACTGTTTTCACATGATGCGTTTTCCAGAGAATAGACTCTATCCAGGAAGTGGCTCTCATGTGGGAAAAGAAAGAAAACCTTACCTGGGTAATCATTCTTGTCTATGTCTGAATCTCCTCTTAAAGTAAAGCCAAATCCGGAAGGAACAGCCTGCGAGGCCCACACTCCTTGCAGAATTTGGGAAGGCTTGGTGTTTAAGCCGTCCTTGTTCCCATTGTAAACGATCACCTTGCCTCTTTGATCCTTGCCTGCGAAGGGTGCACCGATGGCAATGTCTACAGAGACACAGAAACATAGTTTTCAAAAAAAAATAATGTTGTTTTAGATATAGCATTCAGTAAAATGAAAAACAATATCATAAAGTCCAAAGGGTTTATTATGTTTTTCATGAAAATTCTGTAGACTTTGCAACAACAGCAATTTATTTATTATCTTTTATCCATCTAACAGATGCAGTAGGTACAACAGTAAATCAGATACTCAAAGGTTCTACTTTTAGAAAGCTTATATTCTAGTATAAGTAATAGACAATTTGAAGAGAGAAATCATCAAGAAAATATCAAAAGTGATAAATGACATATAGAGAATCTTAAAAATATGAATACAACAGGGAGTGGTTGGACTGCTGTTTTCATTGTATTTTTATTTATTTATTTTTATTTTTTGAGTCATGGTCTCATTCAGTCGCCCAGGATGGAGTGCACTGGCATGACCATAGCTCACAGGAGCCTCGACCTCCTGGGCTCAGGTGATGCTTATGCCTCAGCTTCCTGAGTAGCTGGCACTACAGGTGGGCACCACTGTGCCAGCTAATTTTTTAATTTTTTTGTGGAGATGAGGTCTCACTATGTTGCCCAGACTGGTCTTGAACTCGCTCAAGTGGTCCTCCCTCCTCATCCTCCCAAAGTGCTGGGATTACAAGTGTGAACTACCACACCTGGCCAAAGGTGGTCAGACAATGTGTCTCTGTGGCTGGCGCTTAAACCGAAGTTTAAGAACAAGAAGGAACCATCCACGTGAAAATCAGAGGGAAGAACACTCAAGTGGAAGCAACCACTGCACAGAGGCCCAAGGGCAGAAGGAGCTTGTCCTATTTGAGGAGTGGCAGGAGCGAGCTGCCGGATGAGATTACAGATCATGGGCTAGGGGGACCAGGTGAGGTACATTAGCAGGGTCCCTAGGAAATTCTTGTTTCAAGAAAAAAAAAAGTAAAATCAGAGTTCGCAAAGGTTGCAACATGTAATAGTTACCTAGTCCCATGAGGCAGGAAAACTCATTCATATTGGAAAGCCTAGCAAGAGTTCTGTCACCTGACTCTACTTCAATATGCCATTGACCTTCCATACATTTGTCCGGATTGTCTTGAACAGTACTGTAAGTACTTAGTTGTGTTTGAAGAAGATATACTTACTTATGTTCTAATAACCCAACTAACATAATAGTCCGCCCCAGTGGACTACAGTATATGTTCTCATGTGTGGATAAGCCTGAATACACTGAGACTCTATGTTCACTATGTTAATGAGGCATATAAATCCACTTGTTTTTGTTTTTGTTTTTGAGTTGGAGTCTCACTCTGTCGCCCGGACTGGAGTGCAGTGGCCGCTCCCGGCCACCGCAGCCTCGACCTGCTGGGCTTCCGCGATCCTTCCGCCTCAGCCTTCCAAGTAGCCGGAATTACAGGCATGCACTACCACGCCCGGCTGATTTTTTGATTTATTGTAGAGATGAGGTCTCGCCAAGTTGCCCAGGCGGGTCTCGAACCCGCGGGCTCAGGCAATCCACTCACCTCAGCCTCCCAAAGGTGCGGGATTATAGGCTGAGCCACCGAGTCTGGCTTCACTTGTTTTTAACAGGTAAGGATAAGTGACCCAAAAACTCAGGTTGTGGTAGAAAATAAAGATATTGTCCTGTGGCGGGAGAGAAGGAATATTTTCTTTACTTCTTCTAAGCCAGTGACTTAACCTCTGTCCCCTCATTTACTCATTGAGCTTGGCATGATTTTACATTCTTTACACTCAAGGACATCAAAGCTCAGAAAGGCTAAACTCCCCTTTTGTGTCATTAAAAACGCTTCTCTTAGTTTTAAAAAATATGAAAGTTTTGAGAGAAAAAGGCAAATAGAAGAAAATATGACTTTAAAAGATAATGCCATAGATAATTTAGCATTGTGTATTTCTCTTTTTTTTAGATTAGAAAATATAGTTTACTTAGAAAGTAAATTAGAGAGAGAGAGGAGACTCACCTCCCCATGGTAAGGGAGGGGGCCAAAGTTAGGAAACATGGCGGCCATAACTCAAAGAACACATGGCCTGGCTGGTGCTTAACAGAACAATGGCCAGCCTTATGTATTTCACTCGGGTGATCAGGCAGGGGGCAGTTTTGGAAAGCAGCAAGTCACTAAAAGGTGAACTTTAACAAAAAAATTTCTCTGGAACCATAAGTTTTTAATATGTACTTATGCTTTATGAGACTTTAAAAATTACTAACTGAGAACTGTTTCTTCAAAGAAATCTTAAGAGCACAATAACATTTCAACGCTACAATGAATTCTGATCCGCTGTCAATACCCCTGAGGCTACTTTTGTTAGAGCAAATTCCTGCGACTACCTTGACTTCAATCAAGAAACCCACTGTACCTCCATCCTTAACCTAAAGGTCTTGAAAATGTATGCAAAATTTTGTGTGAATGTGCATGTCTTTCTGAGGAGAGGGTACTTAGAAGGGATTCACAATTCTAACTTGAAGAACTACAAGCCTAAGCTAAGGGTTTAATTGTCCTTTTTTATAGACATTGAAGTTACCTTTAAGGTGAAGTTTACAGACCAAAATAAAGCCAGCATAATCTATACATAACCGATACAGGTTAATCAGAGGCAATATAGTTGCATATATTTGGCTTGACTCTCTCTATATAAAAGATTCTTTAGTTCTTTTCAGGTCACCAAATCCAAACATCAATTTTATAAGTGTCTGCTGCCACTATTGAGAGCTATTACAAGACAGATGAAAGCAAACTTGAGAAAATTTCCATGTAGTCAAAACATAAAGTTGCCATGAGATCTATGGTAGTTTATTAAAAATAGCAATAGGCCGGGATCAGTGGCTCAGCCTGTAATCCCACACTTTGGGAAGCCAAGACAAGTGGATTGCCTAAGTCCACAGGTTCAAGAACAGCCCAGGCAACTAGGTGATACCTTGTCTCTACAATTAAAAAAAAAAAAATCAAAAATCAGCCAGGTGTGGTAGCATGTGCCTGTATTTCCAACTACTTGGAAGGCTGAGGAGGAAGGATCACCAGAGCCCAGTAGGTCAACGCTGGGGTGGCCATGAATGTGCCACTGCTCTCCAGCCTGGGCCACGGAGTGAGACTCCAACTCAAAAAAAATAAAGCAATAATAACTGTACCCCCATACACCACTGTTTAAAATAGTCATTGTTTTCTTTGTGCAATCGTAACATGAAATTATGATGTATAACTGACTTTCACACATGGGTTTAAATTACCGTTGTATCCATCTTGGTTCAGGTCTCCTAAGTGTGCCACAGCACTACCGAATCTCCCGAAAGTCTCAGTGCCGGTGAGCACCTGGGGGTCCCTGAAGAAGAGGGAGCTCACTTGCAAGTACAGGTAGATTTGCCCTACTTCTCTGGGATTACTCTCAAATTCTCGTTCCATATAGAGGGGTGCCCCAACTAGGATGTCATCCATTCTGTAGGGAATAAAAAGAGCAGTCAGTGCACTGACAGATACGAGAGTTGTCTTTCGTTTGTTATCAACTCGATTAGTACATTTCTTCGGTATTTTCACTTTTCTGAGAGTCAATTTACAATAATCATATTTCTTTCATTGCTTTGTTATGTCTATAGACTAGAATGGTAAGAAAAGAAGAGTTGTTCAATTATCATACAACTTTTTAGTTATGTTAAAAATGACTACTTTAAGAAAACCACAGATATTTCACCTTTTTCAGTCTTTTAGTCCATTTCCAGAAACTGTAGTTACACGCAGAATACACATCAATGCCTAAAAAGGTTTTTGTGAAAGTAGATAATAGTCTATAATTTATAGGACCATACATTTAAATTATGCAGTTTTCTTGCAGTAATAATGTTTAAAATCAATTTTGTTCTTCCCTTTCCTTTTGCTACCTCTAGTTAAATAAAACAGAGGCCAGAGATGTGTAAGGTGGCTAGAAAGGGAGAAAACAAATTTTTCATCCCAGTTGAAAATGTCTAGTTATGTAGATCATTAATGTAGATTATATTTATGTAGATTATAGCAGAAAACTAATAGATAATTTTTAAGGTTAGAAAAATTTAAGAAACAGACACCTACACAAATTATTTAGAGAGAAAGGCATAAACATCAGAAGATTAAAAAACAAAAGTGTTTAAAGAGGTTTCCTTCACAGAGCCAGAAGGGCAGGAAAAAATAGGACAGGAAAATTTTTCTTTGCCATAAGCCTTCTAACTATTGGTTATTTGTAAACATAGGCATGTATGGTTTTTATTTCAAACTTTTTGAAAGTCCTACCAGTCAAAATATGCAATTTGATCTATACTAAAGACCTCTACTAAAGTGAATCTGTTAAGAAAGTATGTATAAATATTGTAAATAATTTTGATATTCCAGAAAAGATTATTGCAAAATTTCATACTGGGAAATCTTAAAGAATATTGAAGTAAATAAACATGCTAAATCACCTTTTAAAAAAAATAATAACAAAAAAAATAAAGTGAGTCTGCAGACAGCTCTATCCAGGCAGATACAACAATCTGAAGGAAAACCTGAGGTAGGAACACGAATTTGCACTTGACTTTTATGCCTATGTAGATTAGGTAATATGCTGAAATTTTCAAGTAAACTAATTACTAATTATTATCATTAATTTAGTTACATATCATTCATGTATATTAATAGTATAACAATGTATATTAGCTATACATTTATATATCATTATATGGAATATATAAAATTAATACTCTATATCATCCAGTATGTTATTTATATTTATGAATTGCTTATAATATATAAAACAGTATGCTATTAATATATAATTATTCATATAACTATATTAATATGTTGTGTATTATATAAGTAATATATAAAATAATAAGGTGACATATAAAGAACATCATCATCATCAAATAAAGTAACTGCATTAATTAAATGCATAAATAACATAAATTTATATGAAGAATATTAATAAATTCTATACCATGTATCATGTAGGTCTTTAACATTATTAGTATCAAAAGGCAGGGATGAAGTGGGAGCAATTACTGAGAACAAGAAACTTCCTTTAAGACCTGAGCAGACAATCGCTCTGACATTGTTTTAATCTCCCCTGACTTTTTGCCTTTCCTTTGGTGTTTATCTACTATCTATTTCTCATTCTGAGTCAATAGACATCTTGTAAATCCACTATGTTTAAGATACTATGACAAGTGATTTAAATAATGCAATGATTATTATTAGACCAGCCCATTGGGTCCCAATTAATTTACACATTAGGTTAAATTGTTGCTCATTTAACTATAAACAAGGCAGATTGGGAAAAATAATATGAGATATCCAAATTGACGCTGGGGACACCAGACAAGGGAGAGGCTGGGTGTCTGGGGGTAACTAAGAAAGGCTCCATGGAGGAGATGTCATTGGACGTGGGTGGGATCCTGACAGGTAGATCTAGAGACAGGCTTTCCAGGTGACAGTATTTGAGCTAAGGCAAGTGCCCCTGAGTGGATTCAAGGAGCAGTGAGTGGCCCGGGTGTGCTTGGTTCTGGGGGGATTCCAACAAATTTAATTGGAAAGGTAAAATATACAAAGAATTATTCAAACTCAGCACTATGAAATAACAACAGCATGTAACAATCACATATATAGTATATTGTTATTATTATGTACTATCATTACTATACATAATCTGTGTTATATATACAATATCCAGTAAGAACAATAAGAAAAGAAACAATTCCATTAAAAATTGGACAAAAGATTTGCATAGACACCTCATCAACAAATACACATGTAGCAAACAAGCATACGAGAAGATCCTCAGTGTCATATATCATTAGGAATTGCAAATTAAAACATCAAGATACCACCACAAATCTTAGAACAGCTAATATTCCAAACACTGACAGCACCGAATGGAGAGAATCTAGCAGTTTCTCACAAAGCTACACATAGGCTTATCATATGCTCCCACAATTGTGTTCCTGAGTAGCTATCCAAGTGTGTTTAGAACATATGTCCATACAAAAACCTCCACACAAATATAAGCAGCATAATTGACAAAACTTGGGAGCAGCCGAGATACTCTTCAATAGGTGAATAGATAAACAAATTGAGGTACAGCATGCAATGAAATATTATTCAACAATTAAAAGAAATGAGCTATCAAGACACACACACAAAAGACATGAAGGAAACTTACATGCGTATTGCTAAGTGAAAGGAGCCAATCTGAAGAGGTTACATACTGTAGGATCCTAACTATATGACGCTCTGGAAAAGGCACAGCTAGGAAGACAGTAAAAAGATCAGTGATTGGTGGGAGAGGGGGAGCAGAGAGGAATGAACAAAAGAAGCACAGGGGACATTTAGGGCCGTGAAACTACTCTGTATGAAATTGTAACATGGCAACATGCATTTGGCAAAACCCATAAAACTACGACACAAAGAGCACACCCGTGATAAGAAATAGGTCACGCCACGGCAAGATGCTAATAGTGGAAACTGAGGCAGAGGAGAGAAAGTATACGAGAACTCTACCTGCCACCTAGTTTTTCTGTAAACCTAAAACTGCACTAAAAAAGAAAAAGCCTATTAAAAAAAAATAATAGATACCCACAAAATTTAAGTTGAATCCAGATAATATGAGGAAAATTATGAGTTTGGTATCATACTGATCTAGATTTAACATTTCTTTTAGTAACATTTCTTTTAGTAACTAGATGTGTCATATTGAAGAAGTTCCTCTACGCTCTCTCTCTAAAATGTGGATAATGCAGAAATAGGCTACTTCTTTGGAAGCATTGCCTGAAATCTCTCTCTCTCTCTCTCTCTCTCTCTCTCTCTCTCTCTCTCTGTAGCATTTAATAAATAGTAGCTATTATAAAGGCATTGGGCTAGCTGTTGAGCTATTTTCAGATGTTGGCCAGCCTCGGTGGCTCAGCCTGTAATCCCAGCACTTTGGGAGGACGAGGCAAGTGGATTGCCTGAGCCTGCAGGTTCAAGAACAGCCCAGGTAACTTGGTGAGACCTCGGCTCTACAAAAAATAAAAAAATTAGCTGGATGTGGCAGCACATGCCTGTAGTTCCAGCTACTTGGAGGGCTGAGGCAGAAGGATCACTGGAGCCCAGCAGGTCAACCCTGGGGTGGCCATGAGCATACCATTGTACTCCAGCCTGGGCCGCAGGGTGAGACTTCAGCTCAAAAAAAAAAAAAGAAGTATTTTCAGATGTCATAACAATGTGAATGGAAAGAGTTTTTGTTTAAAAAGCAATGTGCGCTTGCCTTCTCCCTCCCACCTTAGTAGAAAACAGAAACAAGGTGAAGAGTCCCCAGACTATCCCAAGGTTACTCTTCATCTTGTTTCTACTTTTACGTGTCTACCCACAGAGGAGATGAAACATACGGGCCAGCACTTTGGGCCATTTCCAAACGCCCCAACTTTACCAAGGAAGTGAGGGACTGTGGGTTTGATAGACCTGAGAAATAGCTATTATTTTGGCCCCAAATTCCAAACCAGAAGTTGGGTTTGTAAACTCAGGTAAAATGTTTTCTTGAAAATGTTGCAACTACATTTTCTTATTTTGAAAAAAGATCCTACTGCTTGTCACATTGTCACACGGTCACACTGCCATGCTCCAGGCTAAAAGGAGTGCCAGGATTTGGACTCTTTCAGTCCTTGACTCAACTCTGAGGCGCCTTGGTTGCCTCTGTTGTTGATATTATTATTGTCAGTATGAGAGGCACTTGTTAAATACCTAATTGTGTGTGTGGCTGCCTTATGGCCTCTAAATCAAACATCTGAAATCACTGGTTCTCCTGCAGGAATTTAGCAGGACCATTTTCTCATTCTATGGTGAAGGAATAAAGCTGTATAATTGGTCCGTTAGGGTAAGAACATACATGAGACTGACACAATTGGTCCAATACAATTCTCACTGCCAACAATTAGTTCTAGAAATAAACAAAATTATTAAACTTATTATAAAAGACTAACATATCCTTGGAATTCTTGAATCCTGGAGAAATAGGACAGCACTGATTTATTTCCTTAGACATATATTGCCCTAGATACTTAAGTGTAAGTCTCCTAAAATGTTCCAAACTCCAAAAAGAAACAGAGGCATTTGTTCTTAATTTATAATTGTGTTCTCATAGGGTTGAGAGACATTAGCAGTCTTGGGTTCAATTGGTACCATGTGCCTTGTAGAATATTTTGCACTTATTATAAATATTATCTTATATAATAACACTTAAGAGTCACAATAGAAATTATTGTTTGGGCTGGTGTTTTAAATCTTGATTTGCAACCCACTAGTGGATTGTGAAATCAATTTTATGGGTCTTGACCAACATTTTTTAAATTTTAAAAAATAGAAAATAGAATGAATGCATTATATATAATAAGGAAAAATACTGTTCTGTGAAACTTGTTTCAGGTGTATGTGTGTGTTTGTGTGTGTGTGTGTATA